TATGTATGCATGTATGTATGTAGGTGTACATCTATACGTATATACGCGCATATATATATATATGTATGTGTATAGAAATCTGGGTATGTGTGTGCTGTGTGTGGTTGTAAGTACATATGTGAATATATGTATGTGCACATCTTGTAGGAACATTTATGCACGTGCATTTGTATATACGTTTTTCCTCATCATTTACAGATATACGAGGGTTCAGGGTTGATGTCTGAGGGTGGGCCTGGCTGGATTGAAATGGATGGCAATCTGGGGGTTTCCCAAATTAGGGGTACCATTTTGGGGGGTCCCCATAATAAGGAATATATTTTATTGCGGTCTATATTGGGGTTCCATACTAAGGGAAACCATGAGCACATACATAAATCCCCATCTTAAATGAGACAGAAAACTTCCAATTCATAAAATGGACGACCCCGGCCTGGTCCGGGGTGTATATAGGCCTGATATAGGGTTATTGAGGTGGATTAGCAGATGTGTGTAGGGCCTCGTGCATACATACAGGGTTTGGAAGGATTGCTTTGCTTGGTTTGACTTACCCGGAAGGGATAATTTGGCATGCGCCTATTCTGAAGCCGATGCATGAAGTGAAAATATGGTGCGACATATGCAGTGGCAAGAATTCCGTGCAGTGAGAAGTACTCAGGCCACTGCCAGTACATGAGTACAATGGTAAGAAACGTGCAGTACTACCGCGCTCCAGGTAGACCCTAAATCCACGGATGCTTGTAAATACCCAGGCCTCTACTACATCATACTAGTTTCGATGTTTTTCCGTTCTTTGAACCACTGAAGCCCTAGCCCCCTAAAGCCCCAAAGTCTAAAGCCCTAAAACAGTAAACAATTACAGTAAACACTCAAACCCTAAAACCCTAAACCCTACAACCTTAGACCCTAAAACCCTAAAACCCTCTGCTAGAGGTGCACAGCGAAAGCGTCTGGAACGCGAGCTGGGCTCTCTCCGTGGGGAACTGGCGAAGTGCAGGGGTCCTCAGGGTTTCGTTTACGGGGGCATGTAAAGGTTATATTGGGATAACGGAAAATAGAATGGAAACTACAATGTAGGGTTTAGGGTTTAGGGTTCAGGGCTCCCAAGGTTTCTGGCTTTAGGCGTTGTACAGGGTTTAGGGTTTAGGGTCTGGGGTTTAGGGTTTAGGATTTAGGGTTTAGGGTTATATAGTGTTATATAGGAGTTGTAGAAAGTTATATAGGGTTATACACGGGATATGTAGGGTTTAGGCTTTTCATTCCAGGCGTCGGTGAGCGTAGGTATTTGGTGGGTGCCCGATCTACAGACATATAGGGTCCTTTAGGGGTATAGAGGGTTTACGGGCTAGACGAGTGTTGAGCCAAATGGAAAAGAATATGAAAATGAAAGGGAAGCAGCTCACGTGGCTACATAGGGGATGTGTGTGGATATACAGGGCCTGATCGGGGTTGGAGTGTGGGGCTTCGGATTACTGAAGATTCCCCGACTGAAGCCCTGAACCCTGAACCATGAGATCTGCCTTAAGGGTCCAAGGACCTGAATAATAGGGTTTAAGGGCCCAAATACCATCAATATCATAGTATGTGGGCCCTAAAAAACCCTATTATTTAGGTCCTTGGACCCTTAGACCTACTGTTTTGAGCTTGGGATTCGGGACTGACGCATCAGGGGCCAGATGTGATGGAGCAGCAAACTGCCTGTTTCCTTCGTAAGCATAACTCCCCCCCAAAGTCATCAAAAATGTCCTATAAGGTTTTTGGTTTAGGGTTAATTAGGGTTTTGGGCACCCATCCCAAAATCATGAATATCCACAATTTAGCAGCATCAACTATCAGGGTTTAGGGCTCGTTAAGAATGAATACCCCCAATATAGTGCATCAATATATCAGGGGGAGTGTTCCCAATGTCCCAATGTAGTACCCTCATATATCGGGTTTAAGGTCTATTAATATAGCCATCCCCAATATAGTGCCCTCATAAATCAGGGGGACTATTCCCAATAGAGTACCATCATGTACCAGGGTGGAGTATTCATTGTAAGTGGGCGGGCTCATTATCATTCAGTACAGGGACTTTGCTTGGAGCCCCAAACAGGGAACCCCAAGAATATAGTATGAACATACCAGGAATATACCTACCATGGGGTTCGCAATAAGACCTAAACCCCAAAACCCTAAAACCCTAAACCCTATACTCTGAAACCCTATATTGTAAAACCCTAAACCCTGTTTGGGTGTTTTCCGGCGTGCTGACAGGCGCTACAACTTTGTAGCAACATTCGGCATTGTTAGACAGGAGATATGGGCGTTTCTCAAACATAGGGGTCCTTTTCCGGGGGGATATAGGGGTCGTATAGGGTTTAGGGTTTCCCAAAATCAGGGGTACCATTTTGGGGATCCCCATAATGAGGATAATAGTGTTTGGGGGTTTATATTGGGGTCCGCCTAATTAGGGAAGCTACCATATTTGCAAAAGGCCCCTGCGTTGTGAAATGCCTTGAACATTCGAAATCCACAACGAGGCTACATAAACATAAGCAAGCTCCAAACAGGTTTCCATGGAATCCCCCGCAAGAGGGACTTATATTTTGTGCAGACTGCTTCTCTTGATGTGCCTTTGGGGGCCCCTACAAACGCTAGATCTCCATAAGTGGTAAGCCCTGAAACCCTAAACCCTACATAGAACCTAGACAAACATCTGGAACTTTGCAAGGGGGCAGACCAAAAACCCTAAATCGTAGTTTTCCATGTTTTCTTCCATTATCTCTACATAACCCTAGTAGTACCCCAATACTATCCCAATGGGTTAGGCACTGGAAAGAAATCCCCGCAAAGCTTACTAGTGGTTAGCCGGGAATAAGGGACTATTATCCCTGCCTAAACCCTAATTCCTAAACCCTCAACCCTATGATGTATTTCCTGATCCCCTACTAACCCCTAAACCCTAGACCCTAAACCCTAAACTCCACTTTCGAGCAGCAGCAGAACGATAGACTTTTGTTACGATTGGAGGATCAGGTCAACTTCTTTTTCAGGACCCTTTCAAGCGTAGCTGATAGACAGCAGGCCCGTATTGGTTCCCAGACTGTGGTTGGAAGGTGGCTGAGAGCAACTTATCCTGAAAGGATCCCCCCCTGGTCTGCTGAAGCTTGTCGGCTTGACAACGGATGAGATTGTCATCAGGACCCTAATGAACTGGAGAAGCTCCCAGTTGCTCGGACAGCAGACGAGCTCATCACAAACACGCAGTTGAGCTTGTGGTATTTCTCGGACTCCTACCCTCTCGAGATTGACGCAGACTTGCAGAAAGGATCATCAAAGGAATTCTACTTGAGTTGCTATCATCTCGCTAGGAAAGTAGGCGGAGCACATGTGCTGTCTCGAGTGCTATTCTCTTCATCCTTGGATCTGCGCCCAATTGTTCTTTTCGCGAGGGAGGCTCCAAACACCGCCATCAATCTCACCTTTCTCACATTGCCGATTGATTATTCTTCAGCGTTTATTAGGGCTTGGCAGGATGCATTCTCCAAACTTTATCACGTCTGGTGTAGCAAACTCCCTTGGAAGGCTAAATCAATCATCTTTCACTCTACAATTGTACCAGTGCTGTTATATGGTTTGGATTTATGTTCCCTGGATAAGCAACACTACAAAACGATTGAAGCATGGTACTTTAGGTTTCTCAGAAGAGCCCTTTCCATCAAGCACTCCTACTACAGTAGGATATCCAACCAAAGAGTCTCGAAGGCAGCAGGTAAGCCCCACATACCATCGCAAAAAATTCTACAACAACAGTTCAAGCTGCTTATACAGTGCGTGACTACTCCGCCCACAGAGCCATTTCACCACGTAGTTTTTGCCCCCGGGTATAAGGACAGGGTTAAGTTTACAAAGTCTAAATCAAGAGGCCATCCCGCGAGATACTGGTTTGAGCTAGTGTCCAAAGAAGCTGTTCTATTCCTGAACCATTATCTAGACTACCACGCCCTGACAGGTAGAAAAGACTTCTTAGGTTTAAAACAACTTCTTCAAAAAGACCCAAAGTTTGGTGAGTACC